GCCCATCTTATTAACCTTGGGGATAAATTTTTCCCTGAGTACAATCTAGTTACCGCCGCATGATCAGAGTACACTGTTATCGGCGCCTTTCCAAAATAGACTCGGAACTTTTGCACTGCTAACAGAACTGCAAGTGCCTCTCTCTCGGTCGCGGAATAGTTTCTTTGTGTTTGATTTAAAGTTCGGCTAAAAAATGCCACGGGCTGCTGATTTTGCGAAAGTACCGCTCCTACCGCATAATCCGAAGCATCCGCTGAAATTTCTAAATTCTCATCCTTTTCAGGAAATTTCAACACAGGGGCTTGCGTTAATGCTTGTTTTAATTTTTCGAAAGCACTATTGGCTTCGGCCGTCCACGAGAATCTTGCCTTTTTCCTTTTTAATTTTAACAATGGCTCAGCAATAGCTGCAAAATCTTTTATAAAGGACCTATAATATGAACAAAGTCCTAGAAAAGAAGAGAGCTTCTTTGCCGTGTTTGGAGTCGGATACTTTTGTACAGCGATTATTTTTGATTCATCTGTCTCGATTCCTTTTTGAGATATTTTGTAACCTAAATATTTTAATTCAGGGGCTGCAAATTTGCACTTTTCGACATTAACTTTTAGACCGGCCTCATTTAATAAAGAAAACACCTGTCTTAAATCCTGTACATGTTGGTCGAGATTATCACTAGTAATAATGATATCGTCTAAATAGATAAATGTGGACTTTCCAAGAACAGGTCTTAACACAATGTCCATGCATCGCTGAAATGTTGCCGGGGCCCTGAAAGGCCAAACGGCATACGCAAAAAATGCATAAGTGCCAGACTTGGTTATAAAAGCAGTCTTAGGCACGTCCTCAGGCCTAACCCCTATTTGAAAATAACCAGTCGTTAAGTCTAAAGTCGTCATAAATTTGGTTGATTTTATGTTCCTTAAAATTTCTTCTATGATCGGTAACGGATATACCGGATATTTCGTTATGGAATTTAATTTACGGTAATCAATAGCGAATCTCCACCTTTTTGGATGCTCCAAAGGATAGTCATTATTTTTCTTACATAAAACCACCGGGCTAGCATAACTACTTGAGATGGGCGTTATGATCTTTTTACGTAGCATATCGGTAATATGCCATTCTATAATTTTTTCCTTATTCTTATCATACCGGTATGGTTTTTGGCGAACTGGCAATGCATCTCCGGTGTCAATACTATGGTTAGTAACCTGAGTAAATCCTGGAATATCACTAAATAACGAAGCAAATTCACTTACCACTTGTCGGATTCTTCTTGCTCGTCATTAGGCAGGTGGTCAAGATTTAACATCGGCGGTTCAGCCTTTTCAGTCACGAACTGGTTTCATTGTCAGCTTAAGGGACGCTTCATTAAAATCCAGCGTTAGCTTGTGCCTCTGAAAGAAAATCTATTCCTAAATTAAATGTGCTTGCAGATTCTTTACTATAAAAAACATCACCTTTACTTGTTCGTCCTTGATACGGATATACAAAGGTACTTTACCTACGCACTTACATTCTTCTCCTTGCGCCGCTAACACTGTCGTATTATCCGAATTATATATGCGGTATTTGCGAAAATACTTCCTAAAAAAACTCTTCTGCCACACAGGAACACTGCGCGCCGGTATCCAGGAGTGCGGTGGCTGGGATATTATTCACCAAGACTTCAATCTTCGGAAGAGTCAAATTTTTCACCATTACTGTATTTAACTTGTAGGAAGAGGGGTTTTCGTGGCCTTCGGATTTCCGCACCCTCTCGTCAGCAGAAATCCGTTTTAGTTTAAATTATTTTTCCTTTCCGTGCTTTCCTTCTTTTTCCACTGGCCTTGAGACTTTTTTCCTGGGTTGCTATTGAACTGTCGACGTTCGCCGGCTGTTTTTGAATGCTCGGGTTTCCTTGCCCACTGATTCGCTTTTTCTCCGTAGCCGTGTGCTTGAGTTTGCTGTAGTCTTGGCGTACCAAATTGGTTTCGCTGTTGATACTGGCGTCTTCTTTCGACGTCCGCCGTTCTTCTACTTTCAAACTGGATTGCTAGCTCAAATAACTTTTCCAGTGTAGTCGGATTTCTTAATTCAATAAAGTCTTGCACTTGGGGTAGTAACCTCGGCAAAATCACTTGAATTATTTCAGGATCCGGACGGTTTCCATACAAGAGTTTGAAAACGTGAATTTTTCTTAAAATAAAGCTCGAGAGGTTTTCGATTCTTTTTGCTGATATATACTGAAAAGTTCCGTTTCTAATTTCGCACGATCCCTTACAACAGGGAAGGCTTTTAGTAGGCAGTCTTGAAATTTTCGTAAGTATAGGTGGGACTTCCTGCTTGACCCAAGAGACTTCTGCCTATACATTTGAACCAGTTAAGCGCTTGGCCCCTCAAAGCGCTGGTAGCTAAGGTAACTTTTTGAAACTCGTGCACGGGGTAGAGCATGAAGTGGTCATCCAATTTTTCCAAAAAACTGGTTACCGGTGAGTTTCCATTAAACGTTGCTTCTGGTTTCATCGAAGCGCGCATGGTCTGGACGATGTAACCAAATCCTTCCAGGGCGGCAGCTGGCATTTCTGGATTCTGAGCCGTTTCTGCAGGCAGCACAGGTTCTTCTTGAAACTCGGCCATGGTTATTCTTCTTCGTTGGGCGCCACTATCAGGTTCAATATTCCTTCTTTACCTTCTTCGGGAACATACAAGGACCTGACTCGGAACAGAGAGCTTACTAAAGCTATGTTCAACTAATTGTGGTAAGTAGACAGGATACAAACGAAGGGTATACAAAACCCTTTATTTTTCTCTATATACAATAACTTCCGTACTTCGGAATACACTGACCCGCCACTTGGGGTCTAACGTAAAAGTATAAAATAAAAACTAAACTCTAATTTAACTTTAGAATAATAAACGTGGAAGATTGGCCTTATAATAACAGGAAGCGTATGTAGCACAGAGACTGTGAACACTACAATACGTTTGAATTTATCAAGAGGATTAAAACCTCTGGCCTGGAAGGCAAACAGCAACTGCGTAACTTCTAAGGTAAGCGGCCTGCTTGACTCAACTGCTTCCTCTCTCTCGCTTGGCAAAAGGCCACAACTTAAATACTTGGCGTTCGCCAGACAAACTTTGCATAAAAACCTTAACGATTATAATTCTGGCCGGAAGTAGAAAATAAGAAGTGATAGTAAAGATTTAAAATAAAATAAACGTTAGTAAAACTTAAGATCCTTACAACCATGGGACATTGTGTCTAATTTACTGTTATTAGGTCATGTTTTCTGCTAATGATTGCTGTTTGATTCCGATGCAATAATAATAATAATTCCGATGCGTGATTGCTGTTTGATTCCGATGCGATAAAATGTAGATGCAATAATCATTGCAGCTACATTTCAAGAATTTAGAATTTATTTGAAACCCCAATTTCTTTACGAATACTAGGTTGAGTATAGGGTTTAGTAATTCTCTTCTGGCTAAGAAAGTTAGTTAACATTTTATTTCAGCTAGAAAGTTAAACTATTCCCCTTCAAAAATTTGCTAATTGGAATTAACTGAGGAGACTTCAAAGAGAGGTGAAGTTTTTGCTAAATTAAACGGTCTGCTCCGGCAAGTTACAAACTTAAACAATAGACATTTACAACTGCTTTAAAGAAAATAATTGTCAGCTTATGGAGACAATATTATAAGAATATGTGTATGTGTGTGGAGGGGGGAGTTAAGCAAAAATTGAGCAGGTGTGCAAAAGCTGCTCTTTGTTAGAAACAGAAAAATTATTTCCTGGACTATTACATAAAATGATATAGTGATATTATCAATAATCATTTTACAAAAAGCGGCGAAATTTTGTTCTTTAGATGTAAAATACGCTAAATATTTTCAAGGAATATATATTTTCGATGACATATGGCTGCTAAAATAATACACGGGAGCCATTGAAAATGCACTATTCCTTCTTTTTTACTTCTCAAAAAGGTAAGCAGTTTCAAAAGACTAGCTGTAGTTACCTAAAAAGTTAGTACACAACATAATTACTTTTGACATTTTATAAATTATTTATACTTACACAGGCAAAGCTTTCTTGATTTAATAATATATATGAAAAATGTATAATTGAAATAATTTAATACTGCTTTTAGACATTATTTATTTTTATTTATTAAAGTTTAAGCAGAAATTTCATGCACTGGTTCTGAAATATTCAGGAATTTTAAATTACCTATGACTGAAACTAATTTATAATAGCAACATAATTTAATAACATTTCAAAATTTTAATGTGGAAAATTTTCGAAAGTTATAATTTTCACTGTGCTTTAAAATTAAGTTTTTTCAAAATTAGGTTTTAACTATACAGACTGCAGTTTTAGAATTACCCAGTTTATAGATTAAGTACACTGAAATTAATCAGGATCACTTGCTCTCTATGACGAACAATTCTGAATAAAATAATTAATTAAGAGTATAAATAAGTAACGTTATGGAATACTGCGAACCGTCATGCTCTCTAAGCCAGAGGTTCTCAACCGGTGGTACGCAAGTGAAAAATATATGGTACGTAAAAAGCAAAGTATGTTTAACTATTAAATTCAAAAATTAAAACCCCAACATCCCGATTGAGGTTTTCCCCTAACACTCGTAAATTTATGCGATCTGAGCTTTGTTTAAGAGTGGTGGTAGTAGTATTTTTGTAGTGATGGTACTAAAGGTTTTCAGTTTTTGTTTAGATGGTACGCGTTAGTCAAAAGGTTGAGAACCGCCGCTCTAAGCGACATCTTTCCAAGCAATCAAAAACTCGTTGGGTATTATAATTGATCATATATATGTAGTAGATATCGTTGTAACCACAAATTTTGACTAAATAACTAAGAATGACCAAAATGTGAGCCAAAACTGAGAATTTGCAACAAGTACAAATTAAATATATTGATATTTTTACCAATATTTGTTTCAAGAACCAATTGAAAATTTGTGGGTAATGAAGTCAGATAGGATTAAAGTTTTACTTACCTAATACATATCTGGGAAATCTACCTTGCATCTGATAACAGGAGGTCATCTGATACTGCTGATCATTAATTTGTATTTTTTCCGAAACGAAAATTTTTGTATATCAATATCTGGCAAAATTCGAAGGCCTGCAAAATTTTAAGAGCATATTGTTAGCTGGAATAATTATTTTAGTGTCATTCCTTTGAAGCTGCATATGTTTTCAGATTAGCCAAGTTAATAGAGACTTTCTCATCTTGTTTCGAAGCCAGTAAACATGAGAAATGAATTGTACCTTCCCCGAGATTCGAACCACGGATTTTCCAGTTGGTAGTTGGACGTGCTAACAATTTACACCACAATAATATGCAAGATATTTTGCGATATTCTTTCGTAAGCATTTAGCATAATTAATAAAGATAGTAAAATATTTTAGTTACATATAATGGCTATTATGCTGATATAGCCAATAGCATAATAGATAGTTTTAAAAGTATTATATAATAAGAGATACTACTATTTAAGGATGACATGTTATGCTTAATCGGTTATCTCTACCCAAGTGAATTCAATATTTCAACTAACTGTAAGTCGCCGGCGTGGTTCAAAGCCACCGTAATCTATATGATGGATCAAAAGGAGAATGTTGCACTGGTTGTAGATATTCTGTACTACATGGAAGCCAGATCAAAAAGACTTCGACACTTGCCTATGCATTGGCTAATAACTATTCCAATATTAATACAGACTCTGCCTCTAGCCTTCAGGCAATCCAAGACACATTTTCTATTCTCTACTATTTATTTTTATTTGCTTTTATCTTATTTCTTTCTCGCGAGTTTTTAATTTTTTTATTTAATATGTGTGAATATGTATACGTAAGATAAAAATATATGAATCAAAATTATAGATTAAACTATAAAACATTAATTCTCCCTCTTTATTCTAAAATCGTAATAACTTCTCTGCATTGCGTTATTCGAATTAATCATGCGATCTTACGTAACCGCTAATGCAGATGCCTCTTGACCAATCACCAAATAACAAACAAAAACTTTCCTCTTCGCGTGCTTCCATCTTGAATAACTACGCACTTCAGCTTTTGCTCTCTACTGTGCTAAGATGTAATTTCGCTGGCTTGCTTTCTATCTCAAAAATATCAAAAATGTAAATCTTCTGTGGAAAGGCACGACTAGAGTGCCAAGTGATTGTGGCCACAAATATCAGTTGAAAATAAAAATGGAATTAAAACTGCCGCGACTGCCAAGTTTTTTAGATCACCGATCTACAGTGTTCCGTCTTTTCCTTGCGCTTTTAATATGACATATATATATATATATATATATATATATATATTACAAAAGTCGTTTTATATAGCATCTCCAAGGAATATAAATTTAATTAATGCTATGAATATATATATATATATAATATATATATTTATATTTATATACATGTGTATGAGTATATTAATCATCTTTTAATTAATAGTCATGTACTTTAACCTTGAGTAATTGTGTATATTGCCTTCGTTAATGTATTTTTTATATCGTTGTATCAGCATCTTTTTTTAAGTGGTTGCAGTCACACTCAGTGTATTATATAGCTAAGTTAATTCCGTCAGTGGAGCCACCTGGTCGATATGCTAACTGCTCCAGGAGATCGGCTGCCCTGCAGTCAGTGGAAAAAAAGAAAGTCGGTCGTCTCTCAAGTAGAAATGCATTTATTTACAGTAATTAAAAATACTGTGTTTCGAAAATATGGCTCAAGGAAAGCGATAATTATTCTGAATGAAATTTAGAAGTCTCTAAGTAGCAATGGTGAAACTCCTCTAAACCAGAAATTATGATAATATTACATATTGTGGCAAGTTTCCGTAAGCTTTAATAAATCTTTTTTCATGGTATAGTGAGTTTAAATTTGCAATATCAATGTCATTAAAAGGAACATCTGTGGAATAGCTCATTAAATGAAATAGCACAAGTATGAATGCCAAAAAAGTATGGGTGAAGAAAGTACTGGAAACCAGACTTGCAAGTAATGGTGGTTTTAAAAAAATCTGGAAAAATTATTTAACGTTATTTTATATGTCCTTTAAATTATAACAACATTTTTGATAAAATAAATTTTTAAAAATAAAATTTTAATTAGGAACGTGAAGCATACGACTAACTGAAGGGAAGATAAAAATTTATTTCTAAGAATAAATTACTAGAGTAACTGAAAGAGAAATCCATAATGATTTTATCTCTTTGCGCGATGTAATATTTTATAGCGATCATTAACGTATTTTCTAGTTATGCAGTATCCTAAGCACTACGTTTTCACTTGTAGCACTCGGAAACAAAATTTCGACTTTTTTTCCACAAAGTTGCAATAAACGAATAAGGAAAAGGATTACAAAGAATAGAAAAATTTATTGCTGTTGGAGTTTTATGGTAAGGTTCTTCATCTTTAATAAAATTCGTCCACATTAGAGAGAGTTTCTATATAGCTTTTCTTATCTTTGGAAAAAATTACCATTAATTCTCCTTCCCTAGATTTCTAAAAACATATTCAAAGCTATATTGAGTAACACATTCTGAAATACTTCATTAATTCCTTAATTCGAAATACTGTTACTAGCTTACGACCTTACGACTACATTTACTATTAGAGTTGAAAGTTATTTGCTCTGTAAAGATGCAGAAAAAATGTTAAATGTATCACATATTGCAACAATTAAAAATGATTTTTAAAATTTTTAATCCGAATAATGCAACTTATTGATGAATGTAAATACTTTATTAATTATGGAAATTTAAATGAAATAGTATAATGCATTTTTAAGCTATAACCTTGAACTAATAGTAAACAACAGCAAATACATCAAAGTGGAATTGACATTCGGTTGCATAAAAATACAGTGTACTAAACATTAAATATATCTTTATATTACATACGGTAATAAGTAATTCTTGTTACATTTAAAAATTATTTACTATATTGATCAGTATTGGAGGTAATTTAACAGTTTTTGATAGATTTATATTCTGAGATGTGATTAACTTAAACTGAATCTTGGCGTTATGGAAGGATTTACTTCCGTGCGGTATGATTTCATAGCACGTTCAACAGTCACTGTCACATTGCTGAGTTATTGCATCCTGTTTTTTTTTTTTTTTTTTTTTTTTTTTTTTTTTTTTTAATCTTCTGGACCTTCCTGGTTCATTCATTAAGAGGGCAATACACTTGCATTCCGCACATAGTCCAGCAATTCCTGAATGACCGACATATACCTCTTTTTCTTTGGCTTTTTACTCATATATTTTGTTTATTGAACACTTCTGATCATGCAAATCACTGACAGATCAGAGCTCACTGCGGTTTTAGTTGGCAACATGATGTCATTACAAGGATTGATATCTAAAATCTCTTTGTAAGACTGAGTAACAGCAACTGTAACAGCTTTGACGGTTTAAGTTTATCAAATCAAATTTAGTTGTAATCGTGTCCATTCTATCCCATGAACCGTTAATTATCTGTGTTATAAATATGGCACTTATTGCTCCTTTATATCTTAATATTACAGTCTTATGGCAAGCAATCTATATTTATAGATCTATAACATTTCTTCGAAAGTACACATTTTTTATTTTGTAAAGTCTATGCCTCTTTGGAAACATAAAAATTAGACTTTAAAATTACTATTGAATAATTATTTTCTTGTGAAACTAAACAGAAATCAGAAGCAGGATGTATAAGACCCTTTTATTTTATTCAAACTTAAAATTAACAAATGACCCAAGTTGGGTTACAAGAAGCCAATCACTTCTAGCTTAACTGAATAATGTAACAACTGATAATTTCAAAGTGTGGTAGATTAGCCTAACGGCTCACAGAATACTTGGTGAACACGTAGGAAGAGCGTGTTCACCAAGAACGTGGTTCAACTTGGTTGAACACGCAGGAAGAGCTTTGGTTTGTAGTAAACCGGCGAGACAAGCCTAATGGCTAGAACAGTCAACGCCGCTAATAATCACAGCACAACATGGCCTGGAATAGGCAAACACGCTCTAAAACTAACTTCCGCAACTCTTGTTTAAATAGCACTTCATTCTACCTAAATCTCAATAGACTCTCGCGATCTCATTACAGTTTGGCATGAAAAGCGGGGCGAAAAGAGAGTAATAATTTAAAATGCTATTAAAGTTCTTTTAAAGTCAAATTTTTATAAATTTTTATGTTTCCAAAGAGACATAGACTTTGCAAAATAAAAATAGAGTGCTAACTCAAAATGAACTATTTAGTTAAAGATAAAAAGATAAACCTAACAGTTTTAATAAAAAGATTTTGTTTTAATGAACAAATTTCCCCTAAGCTTTAATATTAGAGGCATTCCACGTTATTTTTCCAGCATTAGATGATTAAATATTTGATGGATACGAGTCATTGCGTACAGATAACAACGGATCACACGTGAGAGTCGTGAGAAAAATGCCAAAAAGCACTGAAATGGAAAATAGTGAGGTAATTTAAAAAAAAAAAAAAAAAAAAAAAAAAAAAAAAAAAAAAAAAAAAAAAAAAAAAGACGTATTTTTCACCATAATAAAGATCCCAAAATCTGATAATGAAAGTTGTTTACTTTCCTGCCACAACCGATATGTTGACTGAAATCAGTCTGCGTTTTTGTAAGATATTACGTATTAATGTTGATATTTTGTTTACGGACTGTATTTTTTTAAGCAATCAGTTGCTGTTAATTAACTTGACTTGTTACATGAGTAAAGAATAAATTACATGAAGAGATTTGGAACATCAGAAATATATATATATCATTCTTCTTTACATTAATGCGTTTCTTTTTTCTAACGAAATATTTTACATTCGTGAATTGAAAGCAGAACACTTTTATATTATTTTTACATTTTTTGGCAGGAATGATATGACACCAAAGTATAATTTACTTTTTTTTCTATCAAAGGAAAAATAATGATCCACATAAAAATTACCAAGTTACAAGAGAATAATATTAAATAACCATAAAATTATTAAAGTCTGATGAAAAGTTAATAATTTTTTTTTCTTATTACAAGAGATAAAAACAGAATGCTGGAATTTTAGTCACAGATATTCGTACAACATCACAGTATCATACAGTAGTTATATTTTAAACTATTCAGCACTATGATCGGATACAATAAGATCCAAACAATAATACTAAAGCGTTAAATAGAACGCAATTCAAAACGCAGAGAAAGCTAATCCGATCTCACCTCGAATTCGCTACAGTCAACAACAAAAAACTTAGTAAACAACTGAACTGAGGTGTTTTTCTCCAGCGTTTTAATCATAAACGATAACATTCTAGTAATTTTTATTTTCTAGAGGTTTCTGGAAAGCAAAAGAGTAGAAAGAGAAGCAGTCACAGCTATCACACAATTGCATTTATTCAATTTAAATATAAATTACGAGATATCTATTTATTAAATGCCCGTGCTCCTGTATTTTTACTTTTTCGGCGTTTCTCTTGAAACACGTCACGCGCTGCATTGCAGCGGAAATAAAACAATTTTAATTACAATTCTACTAAAAATAGCTAAATAAATACAAAATCAGTAACAATACATAAAAAAGATATATATGAATTTGTAATGAAGTGGTTTGTTGCAGTAGTAGTTGAGTTAGATTGGGATTTTTAGCCAAGTTTTGAACTGTTTTGTTTGACAAGGACTATAAATTTATAAAAACACTATTGTGTATTACTTTATTAGAGGTTAATTAGAGGTTCAGCGTCAAAACTCTGATTTCACCTGACTGTTTTGCTCATCGTTTCATCATGGAACGTATGATTGATTTCATTAGCGCTGAAATTACGAATCTGCAGTGCATAGAGGAAGCAGATGGTCCTCTTAGTGAACAAGATGCCAGGGATCTCCTATTTTTTCAAAGACTAAAACTTTTCATAGAAAATGAGATCACCCAGAAAAGAACCGCCGCTGCACCGAAGCCTAATATCCCTGCTGCTAAAACATTTGATGATGAATTTCCGACTCTATTGGTCAGATTAAACCTAACGCTCGAACGAGCCAACAGCCCAGCCCGATTCTGATGAGGAAGGCTCCAAAAAATATAAAGCCCTAGACGAGGATAGCAGCGATTCTGATACAGGACCCAGAGGAGACACCACCATACGTTCTAAGAAAGCCCGTCCGGAAAACCAACTCCTCGGATAATTCTGATTCGTCGAGAATACCGCCTCCGGAGACGACTGCAAATGAAACTTTCCGAAAATATGGAAACGGTCCCTAACGAAACTCCAGCTCAGAGACGCAGCCAATCTGGATGCAGCACCTTTTAAAAGAACACCGCCGATAATAATTAAAGACCAAAGGAAAAATTTCATGCAACTCAAAGCCTTATTAATCGGATATAACCTCTCCTACTAACAGAGATTACTACGGACAACTTATTAGCGGAGGAAATTAAAATACATGCTCACAATCCTACCATCTACCGCCAAATCATTAAAGTACTCAAAGGTACAGGTGTGTTTTATCATTGTTACGAGCTGCCAGAGACCAGATATGTAAAAGCAGTCATCAGAAGCCTCCCATCTTATATGAAATCGGAAGATATAGAGGAAGAACTCAGAGAAAAAAGATATAGTGTTATCAGAGTCAACCAAATGAAGCGTCGCCGTGACGGAGAAATAATAAATTTACCACTGTTCCTTGTGACTTTAAAAAGAAAGGAAAAGAGCAATGCCATCTTCCATGAGCATTTTGTGCTTGGAATGAGAATCAAAGTCGAAGGTTATAAAGGAAGAGCTGGGCCCTTACAGTATTTTCGCTGTCAAGGATTCCACCACTCTCAAAGTAATTGTCATCACGCCCGCAAGCTGTGTTTCGCTGCGGTGAGGAGCATGAATCTTTCACATGCAAAAAAAGATAAAACTACTCCTCCAAAGTGTGCGAATTGCCTTATGGAAGGACACACAGCAAACTACAGAGGATGTGAAAGATTTCCTAAGACGAAAAACTTTCTCTCAACCGAAACCCTTCACAGATCGAGTTCATCACAAACAAATCATACGCTGAAGCCTTAAGCTCTGGATTAGCCCCTGAATCTCTCATGGAAGCTAAAAAAGTGCTTGTGACTTACGGGCCATCGTTTCCATCATTCAGGAATCTAGAATAACTCAAATCTTTAAGCAATTAACTACTGATAAAGCTTCACTTCCTGACAAAACCCAGCAACATGGATAAAACTACCAGAACTGTGAATCCCATCCGTTTCGTCATCTGGAATGCCAATGGCCTCCAGAACCGTTTATATGAACTTCATAATTTTCTACAGTATCATGATATTGATATTGCTGTGATTACCGAAACGCATGAGCAACAGTGTCACCGTCTCAGGAATTGCAAATTATTTACTTTACAGGTGTGATAGAATTAGTCACCGTGGTGGAGGTGTTTGTATATACGTTAAACGCACGTTACAATCATGTTTAATTAAGGAAAGCAGAGACTTTAACTGTGAACTAGTTACAGTTTGTGTGACGCTACCAGTTTTTAAAAATATTTATTTCAGTGCTCTATACAACCCGCCTAATAACAGGCTTAGTGATAACTTATTAAATGCTTTTTTGCCAAGTGATATCCCGACCGTCTTTGCAGGAGACTTAAATGCAAAGAATACTGCCTGGAACTGTCGACGATCCAATGCAAATGGCAAAATATTATATAATTACATACTTAATAATCCTATTGTAATTCATGCACCGAATGATTATACTTATCGTCCAGACAGACTCGAGTACTCTGATATATTAGACATCGCTTTGTCTACCACTACTATTCCTATTACTACTGAAGTAATTCAAGAACTTTCATCTGACCACCTGCCCGTTATCGCTTATCTGGGAATTAATAGAACTGAAGCTCGTACTCTTAACACAACTACTGACTGGTCTCTTTTTGAAAATCTTATGAGTGATCGTATTATTCCTCTCTATAACCTTAATACAGTGCAAGAAATTGAAAATGCGGTTTCTGCACTTACTGAAAATATTAAAAGTGCTATTGCAGAAGCAAGTGAGCAAGTGACACTAAACCACTTAAAGATAATAGCCTTCGACTCCCTAATTACATTCGCATCAAGATTAGACAACGCAACAGAATGAGAAAATCCTATCACGTGACCTGGGACCCACGAATGAAACGCGAAATCAATAAACTTAATAAAGAAATTCAGAAAGACATAAAAAATTATAGAGAAGAATTATGGTGCGAGAAATTAATTAATATTGACACTAGAGATGGGTCATTATGGACAATTAATTAAGAATCTTAAATCTCACTATACTCAAACATAATATACTATAAATACAAATCGCCCTCTTACCCATAATGGAGCTCTCGCAGTCACTCATCAGGATAAAGCAAAATGTGTTTGCGACCTACCTAGAGGAACAATTTACACCCAATGAATGGCCAAATAATAAGGACTTTGAACATAGCACATTGGACACATGTCAAAGACTGGTTATATTCCCCCACTGCTAGAAACTTAATTAAACTTCACCAACCCAGCTGAGATTAAAGAAATTATCAAGAAACTCATCCCAGGAAAGCACCGGGAATAGATGGCATCACAAATAAAGCTATAAAATGCCTTCCCAGAAAAACTATCGGAATAATAGCAAGTATTTTTAATGCTTGCCTTACATCCTCATACTTCCCCAAATTATGGAAAACTGCTAAGGTCATCTTAATACCAAAACCTGGAAAAACCCACTCACAAGCTGACGGATACAGGCCCATTAGTTTACTGCCTGTATTAAGTAAAATATTTGAAAGAATTATTCTCAGCCGAATAAAAAATTATCTTCAACTTCTTCCGCCGGAGCAGTTTGGCTTTAGAGAGAAGCTCTCGAGCGCAAAACAACTTCTTCGTATTACGGAGTATTCTGGAGCTGCTTTACATAACAAATTGAATGTTGTTATCCTCATGCTGGACGTAGCGAAAGCTTTCGACCGCGTCTGGCATGAGGGACTGATTGCAAAACTAATCAACCTTAATTTTGAAAGAGAAATTCTTCTGATCATCCTCTCATTCATCTCGGACAGGACTTTTAAAGTGTACGTGAAAGGAGCTTACTCCTCAGAACGTAATATGCAAAGTGGATTATCTCAAGGGTCTTGTTTAGGCCCTGTACTCTATTTATTTTATGCTGCAGACTTCCCTAAACCCAACAGTAACGACTCTATCCTTGCATGTTACGCAGATGATACTGCCCTGGCAGTTAAGTCTGCAAACATTAACTTCGCTATTAAGAAACTACAAGCCTTCATTCCAAGTACAGAGTCATGGTGCGCGAATTGGAAAGTGAAGATTTATGCTCAAAAATCTCAATTATTGATCATTCGCAGAAGGAAAAGAAATAAGCAACTGAAGAATCACCTTCTCCTCTTTAATAAAAGAGTTCCTATAGTGAAAAGTGCCAAATATCTCGGAGTCACTCTTAATGATCGTCTTACTTGGACTGACCATATCAACAATGTTCGAACCACTGCACTACAAATTATCAAGTGTTTGCTTCCTATACTCGGTAAATACTCTAGAATGGATTTGGGGAAAAAAAGACTTGTTTATCTCTCCACAATTAGACCTATTTTGACTTATGCATCTCCTGCCTGGTCGGCAGCCAAAGACTAAGATGTAAACAAACTCTAAATCGTTCAAAATAAACTCCTGCGTATTATCACGAACGCCACACTATTATGTCCGCAACAAGACCCTCCATGAGGACCTCAAAATTGATATCATCGCGGTACATCTGCGAAAACTTAACGATAAATTCTTCAAAAATGCGCAGGAATGTAACTTTATGAATCATTTCAACATGTGTTTCATTATGAAGTTCTCACCGATGATCGATTTCTTCGACCTTTCGCAGCCTACATACTCAGTGGAAACGAAATTTCCCCACCTAATACCAAGTTAGTGGAAAATTTTGATCTGTACATAGTGATTTTACTCTTATTTTCTTTTACTTTACTCCAGAATACTGCTTTTCTTCAATATTCAAGAACCACAGTTTTAAAAGTCAGCGCCTGGGAGAGTGACCTCCCACGTGACCTAAGTTCTAACTTGAGTTCTATGTTCAGCCTTGTTGTAGGACTTTCTGCATTTTTAGGACTGAAATTTCTGGTATTCCTTATATTTATCATATTGAAGAACATGAGAAAAATAGTGATTTTTCGCTATTGCAACCCATTATTTAATTATTTTACTCTTTTCATCAGTTTTGGACAAGTTTACGCTAAGCGAATCAGAATGCCTGATTCCGCTCACGTTTTATGTGACTTATTCTAAGTATACTCTGGGATAGACACTTTGAATTTG